CTTCATGTCTTTGAGGACTAACTTGAAAGACTGTTTTGGTCAAAGTTTACTAAGAAATAGAGGAGAAAGCGCCAACCAATCAATTAGCCTCGTTTTCATGTTGGCACTATTACTCTCATAAAAGCCAAGCCGTGGCACCGTTTTACATTAAAAGGGGTATTTTCAGTGTCTGAAATGATGTTTATTAGCTGAGAGTCAGACACAGTAAAAAAAACCCTGTTGAAATTAAACTGTAACTTTAATAATGCTTAAAAACTTGAAAATTCTCTATTTCCTTGCCAAATTTTGTCTCAAGACAGGTCACGTGTTTGGTCACGTGACATCCCCTACCACAAATAGTGTCTTTCATGACTCTACTTCATCGTTGCTTTACTTTATTTCCTATTTTGAACAATTTTTGCAATTAAAAAGAGAAGGCAAAGCTGATTATATGACCAGCCTCGATTTCATGCTGATATCCGATATTGTATGACAAAAACATCCCCTAATTCGGAACCTATACCACATTTCAACATTAAAAACTGCTCTGGGTTATTCAAGAGGTCTTTTGCTATTAAAATCCGGTGTCAAACCTTTTCTAACCTGTGAGTTGAACGAAACCCCTATTTTCCGGACTCTGCTACTGGACTAAATATCTTTACATAGAGTATAAAGTGTGACCATGCAAGCACACAGTAGCAATTAAAAATTAGCTCACTAAATGCATAATTGTTATTTTCCTGCTCAAATTTGTATAAATTAATTCCACATGCTTTTGTTTTTGGATCACGCAGGTTACAAGTTGAGGGACAGCTACCAGTATATAGTTTTCGAGGCCTGATGTTTGAACTTTTTAGCACACTTTTTAATTTCTAGGCAAATATCTTTAGATGAGCGTCTTTTGATGAAGGACTTTCCACAGAAAGTTAGGTGTTTGGCAGGGGAACGTAAATTGAAGGCGCTTGTCCTATCACTTTGAGGCTCTTGTCTTTCTTTGCTCTGGCTGTTTTCCTCATGGCCATCCCTCGCATCCCTTTGGATTGGAGATCCAGATGAAACTGACGAGTGATATCGCACCGCCGGTTGACAAAAATGGTAATCATCTTGCGGTCTGTAGAAAGAAATGTGGCTGAGCTATTCACTTCATCGAAGATCACTTGCGGTTGTCTTAAGTACGCGGTTTCTCCCATCTTCGATGAACTCAGTTTCATTTGAATGAGACCATCAAAAGATTTC